CCTTGAGGCGACTTTTGTTGTGATTTGGCGCTATATAAATAAAATTGACTTGAATTGAATTGAATTGAGTGTTTCTTTTCATCCTTCTGTGTTCCCTAGGAGTTAGTTCATCTATGTTGAGATTTATTTTTCTTTATTCATGTTTTCCCCTTTCAGTAATGGTCCATTATTCACTTCCTGTTTAATCCCATGTCCTCTTCTGTCTTTTTTTTTACTTCATCCTTTGTGACTGTGTTGATTGTGTATGGCTGAGTCTAATTTTCATTAGCTCTCAGTTTCTAGGTTTCAGTTTAATTGTGTTTTCTATTAAGTTTGTTCTTAACCACAAAAAGGTAACGGTAAATGGCAAATGGCCTGTGTATAGCGCTTTACTCTGTGGACCCTGTGGGAAGTGTCAAATTAGTCAGGCGGTAGACAATCAGACTTCATGCAGTACAAGCAGTTTACAAAGCACTTACTAGCATTTGTTACCTGTATGAATATATTCCAAAGTCTCTCTTCGGTGAACTGCTGCTGTTTCTCCTTCAGAGAGTTAAAATGTTCAGCCAGTGGTACTCCCTCAATCAGTTCCATCACAATGTACAGCTTGTCACCTAAAATGGACAATATGATAAGTGTGTTTGGCCTTTTTGTGTTTTTTTCTTCTTTAAAGGGGACTTATTATATGTTCTTCCTTAATTTCCTTCAGATTCTTGCCATTATACCTGTGGATGTTCATGTTAAACATGACTACAGTTACAGATAATGAACCCAGTAAGTAAGCAATCCCTGTGAGTTTTTGGATCACAGGGATTACAGGGATTATGAATCAGGAAAATATCTGAGAATAACAATATGGACCTCAAGACAATCAAATAGACTCCCTGTAATTTTCAGTTTCAGAGTTCATTATGCTCACCTTCCAGAAAAGTCCTGTAATATTTAACAATGTTCGGGTGTGTCATCTAGAGATATAAAAGCAACACATTAACTTCCAACATGTAATCATACTATCCAAATACAGTTCACTTGTGATTTGTATTGAGCCAAGTGCCTGTTCTTTGATGATTGTGAGCTCTGAGATGATTTTCTCCACATTACTGTCTCTGGACTTCTTGTCTTTGCCAAATGCAGGGTTGTGTAGATTCACCTCCTTCAACGCCAGGATGTTCTGGCCGCTCTGTTTTTGGACCTGTCATCAAACCAATAAATTTGAAGTAAATTTAAAAAGAAAAGATGCAAAACATCACAACCAACTCCAAATTTGGTCACTCTTGATTATGTTTCCTGTTACTGATGTTTACCTTAAAGACACTTCCAAAGGCCCCGGTGCCCAGATGGTCTAATACAGAGTAGCCACTGATCACTCTGAGAGGAGGTCGGTTCTGGTCCACTGTCTCAATGCCTCCTCTCAGATTGTCCAGTTCCTCTTTCTGCATTGAAAACACAAAAACTTTGTTTGTTTGTCAGTTTACCTCATTTATTTTACCCCACAGCAGTCAATGTTTTTCCTTTTTTTCCCCCCAACCCCAAAACAGCTGAATAAACAAATAAACTCATTTAGAAGCTATTTCTTACAGTGTAGAGTGAAACTTTGGTTTGCAGGCCCTCATAGGCAGCAAGGTCCCGCACATAATGTCCAACATCAATAAACAGCTCAAAGAGGTCTGTGGGAAAGAGTCTGTAATGGATAAAAGATCACAAAACGGCAGTGGAAAGCAATAATGAGACTTCTTTCCCTGGCAGTGTTCCAACAGTAGCTCATTTTAAAACAATTCATCCACTTCATGAACTTAATGTTAGACAGTTTCTGCTATATTTTAAAACTTTTTAATGCCGTTTCATCACCTCTTAAACAGATGTCTATTTCTTTCCACACTAAAGAGAAATCGGAGCGCCCGGAATGCATAGCACTGCCAATACACAAACAGATATGTTATTTCCTGTAATTAGAACATTTAGATTATTATGCAATTTGTTACATATAATAGAATATACCTGTAAAGAAGTGATTGTTTGTCCAGAGTCACATGGTATAATCAACTTTGCAATTATATAGATGCCATTTTCCTAAGAAGAGAAGGTCAAATGTAACTAACGCAAAAACATATACATGTGTTTTTATTTTTATTTGTTATAGCTCATGTTTTTACATATTTCTCTCTGTTAATAGGATCAAGAGTAAAAGCACTCTCATTTGATTAATATGTGCTCTTCCACTAAGAACCCTTCTTTACCTGAACAATGTGGTGAGCAGATGTGTCATCTAGACTCATCTCAGTCAGAGCTGTACAGCAGGCTGAAAGGGGGATTAAAGGGATAGAATTTAATTTAAGAACTCATATACACAATCACAGAGTCCTAAATAGTCTGGATTACAGCTGTAAATATTTATATGACTCTCTAAAAAACCAAAAGGCCAGAAGGAAACACTGTGTTCGAAATGTAAATCTTAAGCTTTCCCTATTGATACTTCTCGGGGCATGCATGTTTGGAGTGAGCAAGAACGAGTTCTGCTTTATGTTAGAGTCATCAGACGTTTGAAAACAGGAAATTTACAACCACTTCCTGTGCAATTACAGACAGGGTTAGTCAACTCTCTGCAGTCGTCATTGTCTCATGTCAGGAAAAAACTGTTTACATTCTCAGTTACTGATAAGACTGGGGTAGCATTTTCTTTTTGTGCAGTAGGGACAAGAAAATGCTTTATCATAAACTCTCTGAGACAGAGGTGGAGTAAATGTCCGCTTCTGTCCCTAAGCAGACCTAGGGACAGGGATCATTGGAACAATAATACATTTTATTTGAAAGCGGCTTTCAAAACACTCAAGGTCGCTGTACACTTAAAAGCAACATAAAAGCAAGAAGTTTACAGAATCATAAAAGCATAAGACATAAACAAATAAAATAGGAGAGTGGAAAGGTTATGTGGGATAAGCTATTTTGAACGTATCGTGACTATATGTAAATTCCTAACTAAGCAGTAAAAGTTTCATATTTCCACCGTTTCTTCCAGATTTTAAGATGTATTATTAGTAGATAACCTGTGTTTTTACCCCAAGCGTGTTCTTGGGTTGAACTTTCCCACAGGCTTTGTTCTCCATGTGATTGATTTTATAATAGAAGTCTTTCACTTATAAAACCTGTTTTTCTCCAGTTTCCACTAATGAGTACTTTATAAGTTTATAAATTAATATCATTAAAAATATATAATACTAAGAGTCCCTACACAGAAAAGCTGGTGGGTACGTTGGTGGATTCAAACCCAGGACTTTCTTACTGTGGTACTAACCACAGCTCCACCATGCCACTGAGCGACACAAGAGACCCAGAAATAAATTGTGTGATATGCAGCGTATACCCTGACCTGACTGGAGCGCGATCGTGTTGTCCACCACCTCCTGAGGGCTGAGCTCCTCCCTCATGTGCTCTCTCTGGATGCGACCGGTTGCGTTGGCACTGGAGAGCGCCTCAATGGACGAGCGGTCGGTGATGTACTGCCTGTCACTGTGTGAATGATTTTGTGCCTTATTTTTTGGCACTGTGACTGTTTTAAGCCTGAGAACAAAGCTGTTTAATGCTGTTCAGTCAGCTAAAGTTACAACCTCCATCATTAGCTATGAAATATTGGACGAGATTATGTTGCAGACAAACGGAAAGCTTTTTTTTTTTTAACCAGCAAAGATGTGAAAGGATAGAAAAAAGATAGAAAAATATATGAGGTAATAAACTCCAGACAGATTCATCAGCAATATTTGCTGATCTGTCCCTTCAAAGACAAGGATCAC